TCCCCCTTATTTACATAAATGTGTCCTATTTATATAGCTTCTTTCACAATTCTCTTTATATTTGCTTTAAGGCAGTTTTATTACGTTGTGTCTCCCTGTAGTTTGCTCTGCTATTTATCCTTCTTAGAGTTCACTGAACTTCTTGAATCTATAAATTTGTATTTTTCACTAAATTTTTATTCCAACGATGTACTGTATCCTGAAGGAAAGCGTATCTTCCAACCTGGCATTTTAGCTGTGTCCTCAAAAGGCCTTCTGGTGCTTTATCAAGTTGGCAGCTTTCTGTTGTTACAATATATAATACAATGGAACCATGGTCCTGGGCTAACTCCTGCCACCTCCTTTGCAGCAAAGTAGATTCCTGGTTGGATGGAATGTTATTGGGATCCATGACAATGGTCAAAAGCTCTGTAAGCCTTGTATGCTAGTACTAGCTGAAGCCCTGTGGGCAGGAAAGGTAAATCCATAATCAAAATATGTGTTAATTCCTGTCCAGGGTGGAAGAAGTTCTGCCTTGCCATCAAAAGGTTGGTTGGTCTCCTTGAGGGACTGTGCCATAACTGGGACTCTGAATTTATCTCTTTTGCTAACAAGCTGAATATTTTGTGGCACTAATAGCTACATCATCTTTGGTAAATGAAAGCCCATGCTGTTTGGCCCACAGGTAACTTCTATCCCTGCCACTATTGTGCCACAATTAGGAAAATAATGACAAAGACTGGATGATATTAACTGAGCACATCATTTTGTCTACCTGATGGACTGTTTCATTCACAGTACATGTTCTCTGTGGGTATTAATGTAAAATACAAAGTTGCTTAGATATACTTCATGCCTACTACCATGTCTCTCCACATTCCTCCGCCCCAGACCTCCTTTTCCCTGATCTTCCAGTCTTGTTGTTCTCAGATATCTTATATATCAATCCATATATCTTGTATATCAATCCATACACCACTGCACATGTGGCCATATCAATTCTAACTTTAGGTCACTTTTCCTTTCACTCAAAGTAGAGTACCAGATATGCTGATAAAATTCTTACTCCACTGGAAGAATTTTCAGGGCCATTCCTGAATGGGGCTATAGTGTACTGTCCATCCATTTCTGGCTTGTATACTGAATGGATGCATATGTGAATCAAACTCAGGACATTTCCTCCTCTATCAGCTGGTCATAAATGATCCCCCATGAGACCATATATACATATATGAGCTACGGGAGAGGTACTGATGCAACCCTGGTGAATGAAATGCAGCCTGGGTTATATATTCATATGAACTTCTTATGCACTCTGGTCCTGATAATGCTTGATTCCAGATGTACCACTTTCATCTCCAATGGGTGGTTACGACTTATTGGGTCTGAGAGAAGCAAATCACAATGGACAGTTACAGGCATTACAGGAACTACAGTCTATAGGAAATGCATAATGAAGTATTTAGTATTTTATTAAAAAATGGAAGAATATATAACTTTAAAAATCAATGTAAAAATGAGAACACCAAAATAAAATTATTATCACTGACAATGACTACTTTGCCATTCGAAGTTACTATACTTTAATTGTGATAAGGCCTTACATAGGAACTAAAACTCTAATTTTGCATTTCACTGGATTACTGGTAACAATGTATTAATTACCTATAATTTGAAGTATGGCAAGTAATTCTCTGTTAACAAATTGAATGGTCTTACACAGGTTGTCTTCTCTGAATCCGTTTTCTCTTCAAAAAATAGAAATAACAATGATGCTTGACACAGAATTCAGGGCCTGACTTCCTAGTCTTACTCCTAGTTATCTGCTCTAAGCCAAACTGCCTTTCTATGTGTAAATTATGTCTTTAGTCCAGGGCTTTTCAAACTTACCTATAAAAATTCCTTCACAGCCAGGAGAATGGAAGCTTACCTCTGGGATAGAAGAGAGGCACAAAAACTGCAACCCTTTGCATACAGAGTATAAGACTATGAATTCCTACGTTTGTGAAAGATAGGCTGATTTGTATTCTTTCCCTTGAAAATATCTATCTGAACATAAAATATCCAAATGATTGGACAGGTAAGTTACAAATCCTCTTTTACCCAAATTTTGAAGTTATTGCTCCAAAAAGGTGTAACATTCCTCTCTTTATTTCATTGTTGAGAAGAGCAAGAAGGTTTACAGTCACTCACAAATATAGAGTCTTAATTACTCAGGGTTTTATACTCATATAATTAAAATCACACATATGCAGCTCAGTCATGCAGCTTCTCACACAAGTCTGTTCACACAGGGATTCACATTCACAGCATCTACAGAAAGCACACATAAGAAAAGCCTATCTTGGGGCACCTGGGTGGCTCAGTGGGTTAAGCCTCTGCCTTCAGCTCAGGTCATGATCTCAGGGTCCTGGGATTGAGCCCCATATCGGGCTCTCTGCTCAGCAGGGAGCCTGCTTCCCAATCTCTCTCTCTTTGCCTGCCTCTCTGCCTACTTGCGATCTCTTTCTCTGTCAAATAAATTAATAAAATCTTTAAAAAAGAAAAGCATATCTTTCAAAAATATCACATAAATTTTAAGTCATACAGATAAAAACACACAATCTCATAAGCCTCCAAAAATGCATCCTATTATATAATTCTATACACAGTCACAGAAGCACCCAAACTTTTTATTGCCTATTCCCAAAGAGTCTGGGAAAGGAAAAAATTTAGAGGAGAATGAAGCACATGTTCAAACTTCACTTTCAAGGTACTCAGACAACAACTGTGAAAGGAAATGTTGCACTCCATACTGGGGCCATGGAGGCCCTCATGAGAGAAGTTCAGAGTTCACAGGCAGTTGCACCTAAATTCGGAGGGTCTGGTGCTGTATTCCCAACCCCAGTGGGGAGCCGGAAGAGGTATTAGGATGGATAGAAATCTGGTTTGGTTTGGCTAAGATGCCAGTCTGCATTATGACTTTCATGAGCCCCCTCTTCCATTAAAAAAAAAGAGAATAAAAATTATACTTTATGATCGTTCAGGTATAGTAATAATAATAATGTTATGTTTCTTTGACAAACATTTGCTTTGACCTAAAAGTTTATTTTTAATTTTGACTTTAAAGACTTAAATAAATAAATAAGCACAAGACTTTTTGTGTGTCTCCAAAAAGTGGGCATTTTGCCACTGTGTCTCATGAACGAGCCAGCCCTCCTAGGATGTGTCTTGGACAAAAGTCACCCAGACTCATCCTTAATGGAAAGAACTTACTTGGCATGAAGAATTTCGGGGTGGGGATGTAGGTGTTAGGCGGAACAGGGCTTAATAAATTTTCTATAAACTCAAAATCTGAAATACAAGCCACTATCACACCCACCGAACAAACTCTGAAACAAATTACAACCAGAAACACAACCCCCCCCCCCCCACAGGTACAGACACACGAGGGGTTCCTCAGTGTCACAGAGAATGAAAACCCAAACACACGTGCCCCTGCCGAGTCATTGTTTCTTTAAAACAAATGCATAGGGGCGCCTGGGTGGCTTAGTGGCTTAAGCGCCTGCCTTCAGCTCAGGTCTTGTGGGATTCGGCCCCGCTTGGGGCTCCCTGCTTAGCCGGCAGTCGGCTTCTCTCTCGCCCTCTGCCTCTCCTCTCGCTCATGCTCGCGCTCGCGCTCTCAAATAAATAAAATATTTTTAAAAATAAAGCAAATGCATACCTGACACGGGATGTGCTCCCGGCTCTACTCCAGGCGCTGGTGTACCCCGGGTGCGAAAGACAAAAAGTTCTGGTCGCCTCACAGAGCTCTCTCCCCTGGAAGCACCGTACTCAGGAGCCCGCTACCTCCACTTCCCGTATGCAGGATCGAAGCTCTGGAGTCCTCTGCCCTTGCTCCGTTTTCTACAGCCTGGACTCACATTCCACTCGCCGCCCTCACCCGTGCAGTAGCACCTAAGACTACGGTCCTCCACAGGTCCGCTCATCTCCGCTGCGCGCCGCCACACGCACCAGCGCCTGCGCACTCGGAGTACAGGCGCCCGAAGCTCGGGCTCCCAGCCAGAAGGACTGCATTTCCCAGAAGGCACCGGGATCTCATTCCCGCTCCACCCCTGGGTCCTTTTCCGGTGTCCGAACAGCTGTGGTCCTTACGTGGTGAGTAGGACCTATCCATAGATAAAAATCAGCGGAGGCATCCACAGTTTCTGACCAGAGCCGGACGGGGATCGTTGGAGGGGGTGAGAGGCTCTCCAGGCGAGGACAATCTGGGAACTGACAGGGCGTGTTGAGCCCGGAGTCTCAGGCTTGTGTCTGCGTGAGCAGCAGAGATTTGTGTGCCTATGAGAAACGTGTGTGAGTCTGTATGTGTGTGTGACACTGTGACAGCGTGTCTCCATGGCGGCGTTTGCGCTTGTAGGTCAGATACTTGATTGTGTTTATTTAACTTCGTGGCTTATGGGTGAGCGGCTGTGTGGCCGTGTGGGTTGTCATTGGAACTCCTGGCTCTAGGCTCCGCGGATCCTCCGCCCCGTCCCCTCACAGCCCCTTGGGGCCTGTCGTGGATAAAAGAGGGAAGTCAGATTCTGAGCCTTAGAATGGAAGAACGGAGAATCATAGCAAGATGACACAGACTTGATCTTGAGATATGTTGAAGCTGCAGTCGGACCCAAGGCAGGCTTCTGGGAAGACCTGATGAGGTCCCAGGAGTAGGATTCCCTCCTGGAAGGTTCCCCCTTGGAAGCTCCTAAAGGCCAGCTACATGTTTCTTAACCACAGAATTTACAGAACTCTGGCCCCAAGAACCTACTGTGAATTAGGGACCGATTTCTCCCTGGACATCAGTGACCCTGGCCTCTCACATACTGGGAAGGACAACACTATTCCAGTATTCTCTCTACTCCTATTCTGGTTGAGAGGGTGTGGTCATGGAGGATGTTTTCTAGGTTACTGTGCTATCCAAGAAAATCCTGATGTTTCATGATTGCCTTCTCTTTTCCCAGTGCTGCCTGTCTCTTAAAAAAAAAGGATACAGAGAGAAAAAAGAATTTTTGTTACACATCTTAAAGTTAAAGTTCAGGTGAGTTTGTGTTTCCTCATTATTCATTAAATACACTTGGATTTTGAAGATATGGGACCCTCTTTTTTTTCCTTCTGCTGAAATGTCCTGCCTAATAGTGACATATTTGTGAATTGTGAGGCCATGCAGATAGATCACCCTTCTCAGGGCCCCCAAGCTCTTTTCTCCATAATTTATTTAACCTGTTGCCTCCTGTTAGCTATCATGTTTCTAATTTTTTTTTCTTTTTTTTTTTTTAATATTTTATTTATTTATTTGACAGAGATCACAAGTAGGCAGAGAGGCAGGCAGAGAGAGAGAGGAGGAAGCAGGCTCCCTGCTAAGCAGAGAGCCCGACGAGGGGCTCGATCCCAGGACCCTGAGATCATGACCCGAGCTGAAGGCAGAGGCTTAAACCACTGAGCCACCCAGGTGCCCCTCATGTTTCTAATTTTTGACTACCAACTAAATTATTCTATAATGAACATCATTATGCATAGATCTTTATGTCCTTTTACAGTCATTCCCTAAGGATAAATTTCTAGTTTTGAAATTTAAAACAGATACCAGATATTTACTATATATCAATATGCTTGACCTCACTGGCATACAGTGACAAAAAGACATAGTTGCTCTCCTCAAATGACTTGTTATCCTCGAAGGAAGTGAAATCATAATAGGAATAAGTAAGATAGAAGATCTGAGATGTCACTAGAGAAATCCGGGTGACCTGCTTTGGGAGTTCATAGGAAGAGACATCACTCTGTGTCTAGCAGCCCTGCCAGAATATGATGACATTATGAAAACTTCCTTGTGTGACCATACCACACTTTGTTTATTCATTCTCATGATGGGGTTGTTCCCTGGGTTTGACTATTATGAATAAACCTATGAACACTCTTGTACAAGTTTTTTTGTGAGCATATATGTTCATGTTTTCCCTGGATATATACTTAGGGGTGGAAGTGGTTGACTTAATTTGCACTCCACCCCAAGATATAGTTACTTCTCAACCTGGCCATCCCTTGCTATTGTTAATCATTTTAATTTTAGTCATTCTGATGTGTATGTAGTAGTACTTCATTTAGATTTTAATTAACATTTTTCTGATAGATAAAATAAGCATCTTTTCATATGATACTGCCCATTTCATATACCCTTATGAAGTGTCTATTCAAATCTTTTATCCATTTTTAGTCTGTTTTTTGTCATTTTCATATTGATTTTTAGGAATTTTATGTATATTTTGAATACAAGTCCTTTGTGAGTGTTTATAAATATATTTGTATGCCTCTGTGTCTGTGTCTGTGTGTGTAAAGAGAGAAAGAGACAAAGAATATCTTTCATTAGCCTATTGCTTCTTACTTTCTTAATGATATAATGAAGAAAGGTTCTTAATTTTAATGGAGCTATTTACCAATCTTTTTCTTTTGTAGTATTGCATATTCTGTTTAAAACATCTTTTCCTGGGGAAGGAGGGATAGCTCTTCCTTACGGTAGAATTCCAGTTATTAAAGGTAGAAGGACAAAGGAACACAGAAAGTGACCATTTAGGCAAACACCACAATAATAGTTCTTTCAGATGCAATCGACTGATAGATGCTAAAATTAGTGGGCGAAAATCTGATGAGGAAAAGGATTTGCATAGTGTTAAAATATATTCCACTACCCAAGACACTTATTAACTACCAAGGGAAAGGTAGTAAGTTTACAGTAGAGTAACCCCGCAGAAAGAAGTTGAATCAACCCATCAAGGTTAACATCACCAGTAGTAAGACACTGCTGTCATGAGCCCTGTCTTTTGATGCAAAGGCAAGGACACAACACCACTGTGGTACTGCCAAAAATGTGCAACCAAATTCCAATTACAAAAATATTAGAAAATCCAAGTGGGAGGATAGTTGACAAAATAAATGATGGTACTCCTCCAAAATAAAAAGGCATGAAGATAGTTAGGTGTGGAGGACAGACTTTATAGTGACCGTCTGATTGCTGCCTGCTGGTGTCTGTGCCACTGTATAACCCCCAACCCTGGAGTGTAAGAAGAACCTGTTACTTGCTTTTAAGCAATAGAAAATGGCAAAGATGAGGGGGATGTCACTTCTGTGATAAGGCTATTTTATATGGTAAAAGAAATGGTATGTCACCGTTGTGGTTCTGTTATGTCATGTAAGACCCCATTATAGCAGACTAGAGCTAGAGACTCTCTTTGTGGGCTTGATGAAGTAAGTGGCAATGCTGCAGAAGCCTATGTTGCCAGAAACTACAGGTGGCCTCCAGGACCTGAAGGTGTCCACCAGTGGACAGCCAGCCAAAAGGGGCCCTTGGTACCATTGCTGCAAAGAAATGAATTCTGCCAACAATCTGAATGAACTCTGAAGTGGCTTCTTCCCCAGCTGAACCTCTGAATGAAAACACAGCCCAGCCTACACCTTGTTTCCAGTTTATGAGATCAGCCTAAGGAGAGCAGCCAGCTAAACTGTGTGCAGACTCTGGGTTCACAGAAATTGTGAGATGATAAATATGTGTTGTTTTAAGGTGAATTTGTGGTAGTTCGTTAGGGCAGCAGTTGAAAATATGACCATAAGAAGACTGTGGAGTTTGGAAGAGACTAAGGAGAAATAACAGCTAAATGAAATGTGGGATCATGTATAGAATCCTGGAAAAGAAAAGGACATTAGTGTGAAAAATTGGTGATATTTGAATAAGATCTGCCATCCATAGTATTGTACCAATGTTAATTTCCTGGTTTTGATCTTTGTCCTATGTAAGAGCTAACATTACGGTGAGGGGTAAAAAGAACTCTCTGCACTCTTCTTGTAACTTTTCTCTAAGTCTAAAATAAGTGAAAATAAAAATTAAACCCAAAAAAGGAAAATTGTGCACATCCATGATCATGAAGATATTTTTCTGTTTCTTCTTCCAAGTTTATTGTTTCAGTTCTCAAATTTAGGTATGTGATCCATCTTGGATTTTTATCTGTGTACATAGTGGGATCAGAGTCAAAATCAGTTTTTGCACACAGAAACCCAATTGCTCAGTTACCTTTTGTTGAAAAAGACTGACTATACTTTCTGCTATAAATTGCAGTCAGAATTTTTGTGTGTGAAAACTGGCTATATATGTGCAAGTCTTTCTGTGCTCTCTATTCTATTGGTCTATTTGTCAGTCGTGTGTCAGTATCACTGTTTTAAGTACAGTAGCTTTATATCATGTCTTGATATCTAATGTGATTTTCACAACTTTGTTCTTCAGAATTGCCCTGACTCTTCGAGGTTCTTTGCATTTCCATATGGTTATAGAACAAGTTAATTCTAATTTTCTAAAAAAAAAAAATCCCCAAAACACCCCACTGATAATGTTGGAGATGCATCAAATCAATAGATCAATTTAGAGAGAATTGATTTTAACTAACAGTCTTCCAATTCATGAACATAGACTATGTTTCCATTTATTTAATTCTTCTTTAGTCAGTTAATGTTTTGGTGTTTTTAGTCTAAAAGTCTTGTGCCTCTTTTGTTAGATTTATTCCAAAGTGGTGTACTTTTTTAGATTTTTAAAAAACTGTTAGGATTTTAAAATTTCATTTTCCAGTAACTTTGCTTTGATACAAACATTTGTTTGATACTTTGACCTTTTATTCAACAATCTTGCTAATAAATTCATTTATTCTAATAGTTTGTAGAACTGAAATTTTTTTCAATGTACAAAATCATGTAATCTGCAAATAAAGTTGGTTTTACTTCCTTTTTTACAACCTTCATACCTTTCATTTCATTTTTTTCTTTATGGTAGTAGATAGGTCTTACAGTATAAAATTTAGTAGAAGAGGTAAGAATGGACAACCTTGCCTTGTTCCTGAACTCAGAAGGAAATGATCCACATTTCATCTCTCATATAATTATAGATGTAGTTTTATTCTGTAGATCCCCTTTATCAAATTAAAGAAGTTTCTTTCTTTTCCTAGTTTGCTGAGAATTTTTGTCATGAAGTGTGGTTGAATATTATCAGAGTTTCTGCATCTAATGAAATCTATGAATGGCTTTCTCTTTTTTTATTTAAGGTTGGACTGTTATGTTGATTGATTTTTTGAAAATTAAATGACCTTTATATTTCTAGACTAAATTTCTCTTACCTTCTATAACACCTGTAATATTTGGTTTAATATCCTTGCTAATATTTGGTTTAATATGCTTACATCTGTGTTCATGAGAGATGTACTATATTTTTCTTTTCTTGTAATTAACGTCCCTGTCAGGTTTTGATACCATGGTATGCCTCATGACATGGTCCATTTTTTTTCTGTTTTCTAGAAGATACTGAGTTTAACTTGTATTTTTAATTCTTTAAATGTTTGGAAGAATTTGCCACTGAAGCCTTTGGGTATGATACTTTATGGGGAGTTTCTTAATAAATATTTCATTTCTTTTGTAAATATAACAATATTCAGATTTTCCATTTCTCATATCAGTTTAGTAAAATTGTGTTTTTAAGGAATTTAAAACTATCATCTATATTTTTCAAGCTTATTGTCATAAAGTTGTGAGATTCTGTTACCAATTTAATGTCTATAATATATGTTGTGATATCTCCTTTCACATTCCTGATATTGGCATTTATTTTCTTGACTAGTATAGCTAGAGATATATCAATTTTATCTCTTCAATGAAATAGTTTTTGGCTTTATTGATTTTTCTTTTTGTATATCTTGGGTTTTTATGTCACTGGTTTCTTTTAGTATGCTCTACTTTCCATACGCTAAATTTGTTTTCTTTTTCTAGCATCCAAAGGTAGATCACTGATTTTTAACCTTACTACTTTGATAATACATACATTTATGTTTGGATGAAGTAGGTCAAAGAATACTTAAAAGAAAGAAGAAAATAAGAAGACAGTTACTACACTCATGCTATCTACTGGGAGAAAATAAATTCCAAATTTATTAAGCATTGACATAATTTTTAACTAATTTACTTATTATTTTTTTTAAGATTTTATTTATTTATTTGAGAGAGAGACAG